TTTCTATTTGATTAATTTTAAGCACATCTCTTACATATAGATACATATTAAGCTCTCACTTGCTGAAAGTAATAATTCTCACTGTTTTTATTGTGCTTATTTTTTGTCGTTGTTTCAATAATAATAGAGATACAACAGAGATCCACAAAATTTACATTGTACATGCACGTGTAGTACTAAATACTACTATCGGTACAGTGAGTTTTAATTGAGTCGTTGCTCGTACACAGAGCTTTTACACAGTGATTTAGTCCAACTTCTACAACATCAATAAACATGCTAGAGTTGTAGTGGTTTTTATTTTTATTCAGGTTGGTTAAACAGAAAAAATACAAAGAATTCTCATAGCTCTGGATTTCATAACTGTCAAACCGGATTCGAATCTGTGTGATACTAGAAAATATTCACCACACTGTGGATGCGTTGTACAAGTGACAGTCGATCCTATAGTGTGGTTAGTGAGTCTCTGGTCAGAAGTTCAAAATTAGTGGCCTTGCAATAAATAAACAAGAGGGAATCATCAATAGCCGCGGCACTTGAAATTCTTTTAGGCAGGATTAGAGTAAATTAATCTATGTGACCTTTGTTTCCCTTTTTATTAGCCATATTTTTGTGCGCCAGCAATACCAAGCGTGAGGCGTACATATACTCGATCCGATTTTATTACTCATCAAGACCTCTACCAGCCTACCATCAAATTTAAATTATTTTAAGCAGGATTAGAATAAATTAACTTATGAGACCTTGGGTGTGCCTAAATACATCAGTCCTGAGTCCAAAAACTGTAATTGGATCTCAAATCGGCCAAGAGATGACGGAGCTATGAGCTAAAAGTTTGTACTTAAAAAATAATCTCAGAGCCGCTCATCCGCGACTAAAAATACAAATTCCTTAAGTGAGATAACGACTAACCAAAGAGCCTTCTGCAAAGATACAATACCCAAGGCACTAATGTCACTCACATTGGGTAAGGTTCCTTTTTCACCTCACTTACAACAAACCAAAAACCTAGTTAGTCAGGTGATTTCTCATGTGCATCGCGAATTATAGGTTTTAAAAAAGAATTAAATGCAATAAACGCAAATTAACAAGAAGTTGTTGTTTTTGAGATTGAATACCAAAGGAACGCAATTAAAAATACAGAACAAAGGAAATTCTCGGAGAACTTGGTAAAAGTTTTGAAGGTGCTATTCGGTATTACAATTTGCTACTATTTTGTTATATTTATATTTAATTATATGTGTATAAATTAAAGTTATTTCATATCTATTTATTTCTTGTATACTGATATACAAGGTTGCAACTGTATCTAGTGATGTATGTAGTATAAAGTAAACTTGCATAATCTCTACATTTAAGAAACGGTCAAAGAAATACTTCACCCAGACAGTAATCTTCACAAACAAATGATGTTCTGTTATAAGTTTTAATAATTCTTACCTGAAGTCAAAACCGAAATCTAGCTACCTCTGATTTTGAAGCGAACTAACGAAACTAACAAAAGTTGTATTGTATATTTTTTTTTCATTATTATATGAAATATATATATCTTCAAGATCATTACCGAACCTTTAATTCCCGAAAGTTCGTCTCTTCTTAGGCAGTTAATTACTCTTGTATCTCCTGTATCATCATACTCAAGATCCTTTTAGAAAACTAATGACTCTGTCAACTCCTTCTGACATTTACTTTGAATAAAAAGGCTGCTACAGAGTTGTTCATTAATGAGTATGCCTTTGATAAAGTCTTTGTTCTTAAACTTTTGCAGTCACCTTATACGCTATTCATGTGTGCCTATCAAGTGCTCCACTAGAAAGTACGAACTATTCCAGCTACAGGTTGTAACTTGAATAATCCTTTTTTTTCAAGCTTGGACTCACATGAAAATTATTTAATACAAATTCTTAATATATCCTCCATTAAACTTCATACAAGTTCATTGATTGTAGAAGAATGTTTTCTAAATATGTGCAAAACATTTTTTTTTATAAATAAATAACATTTTTGACGATAAAGTTTGCAAGCAAATTAATATGAACTTATCGAAGAAAAATGTATTGTATAACATATTATTTAGATGTTATCTATTGTAGTTAATTTAATACAGAAAAACAGAGAGACTTTAATCGATCTCGAACCGCGTGCTTTTCACGTTTGTCACGTATTAGAATTTCAAATAGCCTAAAACTAAGTTACATTATCATTTAGATTTAGTAGTTAAATAAATGCCGATATGTATCCAGTTTATGATATTTGCCAACAAGATTGATACACATAATTTTCTTTTTTTTAATAGAAATATATTTTAATATATAAACAATAACATAATTTAGAATAACAGTTATTACAAACAATGAGTTATATACAGAAATTTCACAAACCTACAGGCAATATAAAGTCTTCTTTCTTGTCTGGAACTTCCTTGATATATTATCGAGGATTCACGATGAGCGAGTTAATTTCGAATTGACGTAGGTACAATTCACTTAATAGAGAGCTAGCTAGCTCTGTGGGGGGCCCGGCATGGCCAGGTGGTTAGGGAGCACGACTCGCAATCTGCGGGTCGCGGGTTCGAATCTCCGTTCCACCAAACATGCTCGCCCTTTCAGCCGCGGGGGCGTTATAATGTGACGGTCCATCTCACTATTCGTTGGTAAAAGAGTAGCCCAAGAATTGGCGGTGGGTGGTGATGACTAGCTACCTTCCTTCTAGTCTTACACTGCTAAATTAGGGACGGCTAGCGCAGATAGCCCTCGTGTAGCTTTGCGCGAAGTTCAAAAACAAACAAACAAAACAAACAAGCTCTGTGGGCCTCGCTCATCACACACGGATTACAGATCGAGCTTCAGTTTTTTACCGCTGAAGTTATATAATGTCTTCGTAAAAGTATTAATGTCCGATGTGAATCCACTGAAGGTTAAATGGCTTATAATGTTCGAAATTTATAAATGTTCATGGTCAAATATCTGAAGTTTTCCGATTAATAAGCGTTAATCACAATTATAGCTTCCGAAGTTTATAGCACACCAATTACTACAACCCAATAATAGATACTGATTTTTGGCGCTTCGCGTTTGTTATATTTATAGGCGTATGGAGAATTTCTCGAATTTTCAGTGTTACGTAACAATACTGATGCTAACACTAGCGTTCACGTACACACATATATTGTTGATTCTTACACTCGAGAATCTT